GGACGAGGCCTGCTGCTCTCAGGCCAGCAGAGGACACTCGTGCAGCAGCTCCAGAGCTCACACGGGCAGGACCCTGCCAGCTCTTAATTCGAAGCAGTGATTTCTTGCAGGAGGAAAGCCCAGCAGGCAGCAGTGCTGAACCACCCCGAGAGCTGGAAACGCTGCCCTGGCTCTGCACAAGCTGCTCTGCGTCACAGGAGCCTTCTGTGCACAGAAGGGAGAGCCAGGGCCTGACCTGGGACACATTCCTCTAAGGAAGCGATCTCTTCGGCTTTCTCCTGCCAAATCCAACCCCAGCTTCCCTGGCAGCAGCACCTGCTAATCCAGGCACGACTGAAACCAACAGACACCAGTTACAGATGAAGCAAGCACACAAGTGTTGCCTCAGATGCCAGCATGTACCTGTCGTGGCAAACGGGTTGTGCAGCTGCTCCCTGCAACCCCAAGGAGCTTCGGATTGAGGCAACAGGGACTGCAAGAAGTGACCTTAATCCCAGGAGATAAACCTAGAGCCAGGGACATGTCACGGGCGGCTGGGACAAGCGGGAGCCCCCGCGGCACCTCACCTGCGTTTGAGCTTGTCGGCGAGCTCGTCCAGGATCTGCACGGCCTGCCGGTGATAGTCCAGCTGGGCGTCCACCAGGGCCGAGAGCTGGCTCACCTGCTCGATCTGCAAGGAGCGCGGCACGGCGGCGTGAGCTTCACAGAATCATAGAATCACGGAATGCTTAGGGTTGGAAGGGACCTCTCAAGGTCACCTAGTCCAACCCCCTGCACACGCAGGGTCACCTAGAGCACGTGGCACAGGGCTGCGTCCAGGCGGGTTTGAAGATCTCCAGAGAAGGAGACTCCACAACCTCTCTGGGCAGCCTGTTCCACTGTCACTGTCCACTTCACTGTCAAAAATTTTTTCCTTAAGTTCCTATGGAACTTTTGGTGCTTCAGTTTGTGGCCGTTTCCTCTAGTTCTGTCAGTGCCACCAGTGCAAAGAGGCCGCCCCATCCTCCTCACGGCCTCCCTTGAGGTACTTCTAGACACTGCTCAGGTCCCTCTCAGCCTTCTCTTCTCCAGC